GGATATACCTCTTAAGCTATCACAGTGGCAGCACATTCAAGCTATAGCATTCTGCTCCTGACCCCACCCTCATAAAAGTCATGTCCCTCTCCTATGCAAAATGCATTCACTTCATCCCAGTACTTCCAAAGTCTTAATTTGCCCCAGCATCAACTCCCAAGTCTACAGTCTCATCTAACTCACATATGGATGAGACTCAAGGCACCTTTCAAACTGAGGTGTGGGGGCTTGAGATGAGCATGGCAACCCTGAAGGTGTCTTGATAAATGGCAACAGTCTACTCTCCTTATCAAAAAGCTACTTGGTTACAACCTTATTACAACCTTAGTTTTCTGTTCTAAAGACGATTTTTTATTATTTTTGAGATAGTCTTTCTGTGTAGCTTAGGCTAGCCTCAAACATGAGATCCTCTTGTCTTAGCTTTGTACTACTTTCCCAGTTTATTTTTTTTAATCTTTCCATGGCCAGTCTGACAGTTTTCCTTTTTTTTTTTTTTTTTGGTAGTACTATAGATTAAACTCAGAACTTCATGCTTGCTAGGCTCTCACTCTACTATTTGAGCCATATTCCAGTCCTTTTGTCCTTTTGCTAACGGTCCCCACTGGGCTGGTCTCAAAAAGCAATCCTCCTACCTCTGCTTCCTGAATAGCTGGGATTACAGGTTTGTACCACGACCCTTGGTCGCATATTTTTCAGCTTTTAAATTCTGCTTCTCTTTTAATTATAAATTTAATCTTTAAGTCATTTTTGTCTTCTCATATTTAAGAGAAGCTAACAGTACCGTAAAGGCTTTGCTACTTAGAGTTCTTCCACCAAATATCATTTGCTTTATCTAGTTCATTGCTCTTAAGTTCTGCCTTCTACGAAGTCCTAAGACTCAGACATAACCAGGTTCTTTGCCACTTAATCACAAAGGAAGCCCCTCCTCATTTCTATCTGAGACCTCATCAAAATGGGCTTCGCTAGCTATATTTCACCCATCATTCTCACCGCGATCACTTGGATAATCACTGAAAACCCTGAGGCTTTCCCTGCAGCTTTTCTTTTCTTCTGAACCTTCACCAGAATTTCCCTGAATGTTCACAGCAATGCAGGCCTTTCCCAGTATTCACTTTAAAACTATTCTAGCCTTGCCTCCTGCAGTTGGCTCCTGGCTGTAATCCTAGCTACTCAGGAGACAGAGAGAAACCCATCACAAAAAAGGGTTGGTGGAGTGGCTCAAGGTGTAGGCCCTGAGTTCAAACCCCAGTACCACAAAAAATAATGACAAAAAAACTCTTTCAGCTTCTAGTCATTATCCAGTTCCAAAGCCACTTCTATATTTTAAGTGACTAGGCCCTTGGTTTCCAGAGTATGTGGTTCCAAGGAGACCACCACTGAGGAAAAAACACACATGCTCAGGGGGCATGTTCAGTGTACAGAGAATGTTTGATTCATTTTTCCCTTAAGGCAGTCCAACTTCTGTCAAAGACACATCACCTTTCAACAAATCTCAGTTTTTACTTTATCATTTAAATTATGCGTGTTCACTTTTACATTGCTTTTAATGTAAATTTAATTTTGGGAAGCAGAATTCCACCAAATTAAGGGCAGAGAAATGGATCACACAATGTTTTAAGCGCAACTGATGATAATTTGGGACTGGCTGAGAGCTTCTCTCTATCAATGGAGCTGTGTAGTATTTTCAGAAATTTAAAATTTTGTTTTTGAAATTTGTTTTGATTTTTAAAAATTTACTACTTTTTGACCAAACATGGTCAATATAAATAAGGTAGGCTTACTACATTTGTTATAACAACATTTCTGGTACCAATTTCTATCTTAGTCCATTTGATACTGCTATAACTACATACCATAGAATGGGTAATTTACAAAGCATAGAAATGATTCCCACATAGTTCTAGAAATTAGAAAGTCCAAGGTCAAGGCACCAGCAGGTTTGGTTTTCTGGTGAAGTCTGTCTTCTAGTCTGGTTCCTTCAGAGGGAAGGAATTCTGTATCCTTACACTGGCAGAAGGCAGAAAAGCAAGCATGTAGCATGAAGGCTCTTTTACAATGGTCCTAATCCCATTAATCCCTCAGGGCCCAGTCACCTCTTAAAGGCCACACCCCTTAACAATGTCACATTGGCAAGGGAAAAGTTTAAACCACAGCACCTTCCTGAAGTAGATATCCCAGGGGTAAAAACAGGGAGAGTATGGGACAATTCAAGCCACTGTATGCTTTTTCACCCTTCTGTCTAATACAATATTGCATAAGTGTGGCCAGGACAAAGTAGTGTGGTCCAGTGAGCCCCTAGAAAGGACTGTACTCAGAGGGGTTCTATTTGAAGTTTATAAATGATGCTTCTTTTGAATTGAAGTCCAGCAAAGGGGAGGAATAGAGTGTTCATTAGCACCGTAAGATCACATGTGTAAATGAATGATACAAAATCAAACACAGCCTTGTTTTCATTGCTTCTAGAGAATTGCAGACACAATCATTTTGCAATTCTTTGGCCTGTAACAATACAGAACACCTTTCATTATATGTTCCAGAGTAAAAGGGTGTGTGGTTTTTTTCCACAGTAGCAGATATGTTTTCTTGAACAATACCCAGTAAAGGTCACATTGGAGATTTGAGTCACAAGCCCTGTGATTTAAATTTGAGGCTGCATTTAAAATGGCACATCTAGAACTTGCCAGATTCCATTAAAAGCCATGGTGTCATTGTGGATTACCGTTGAATAGAACAGGACCCTGTGGGATATGGTCTCTCTCTTTGTAGCAAATACATAGATTTTCTTCTTTGTGTCATCCCCTGGCTAATTTTTTGGCTTTTCAATTATTAGAGGATTTCTGTAAGAGCCTTATTAAGAGCAAAAACCTTATCATGTTTGATTCTTTATAGGTGATCATATATGTTTCTTTCCTCACTGAAGCCTTCTTGGTTCCTCTTACCCTCTACAGAGAGAGTGTCTAATTCCTCCTCTGAATGTTTCCTCACTGATATCAAGAATGAAACAAGTGTCAGACAACAGTGCCAGTACTGTTTGCTGCCATTCAGAGTTCTCTCCATGCACTCCACAGTGTGCTGCACACTCTTACTTACTCCTCGAAACAGCCTTCCAGTAGAACATGTCATGCAGATGAGGAAGCTTGAGTTGAGAGAGTTTGAGTGCCATGGCCAAGGTCATGCAGCTAGTAACTGCTGATGCAGAATAACATACCCAGTCTGGTTCCAAGCCCCATTCTTGTTAGCAACGTCCTCTTGTAGTTTTTGACATGCAAGTTGCATCTTTCTACAAGACAATAAGTTTTTTTTGCTTTGAAAAAAAGGAGAGACTATCTTGCTTCTTTCCACGTTCCTGGAATTTTCCATCTTACTGATTGACTCATAAATGCCCAATGCATAGTGTCTAAGTGAATGCTTGAAGTTGCTGGTTGGGACTTTTTGGTAAACAAGACATGCTAGTTTATGCATATCGTGTGACTTTGTTAGAGTAGTCTGAAGAAGAAAGAGTGTGAGTATCTGAGACTTTAAGAAGAGTTTCCATTTATTTTACATTCCTGTAACTTGGGTTAGATCCTGTGTTCCAAAACCCACCCAACCCATTCGTTATTCGTCAAGCTGAACAGATGCTTGTCACTCTGTTATTTCCCCATGTAATGATCCTAGGCTTCAGTTCTGCACAACTTGAAAATACTATCACTCATTTCTCCCAGTTGCTTTATTCATGACTTAAGCTTCAGTTGCCAGGAAAAAAAAACTTACATTTGGTGTGACCTTCCTGTCTCCACCATTTCCTAGCCTTTTTCAGGCACTTCCAAGTTCAGTGTGGAAATGAGCAAAAATTTCCAAGACTCAGATGAAAAGTCCATGGCCTAAGTGGCCGGCATTTTGAGAGAGTGCTTGGTGGGTACTGACCCTGAAACACCTACAAGACTTGGTACTGGGACAGCTGTGGAGAGTAAGCTGTGGGGCTCTCTGTGTTGGTGCCAGAACCATCATAAACGTATAGATAATTGACCGAAAATATAATAGCAGTCTAGGGGAAGCCCTGCTAAGCTTTCCACGTACACAGCCGCATAGAAATTCAGTCATATCACTCGGGGCATCGACAGAGGATGTGGGCTCAGTTTCTAACTGCATCAGAAAATCTGAACTGTGAGTCACGTGGAGGGGCCAGAGGAGATGGGAAGTGTGCATTGCCATCCTTGGTGTAGCTGAGCACACAAATCAGCAGCATCACAACAGGGACCTACTTGCTTTCCAAGAAATGCTCTCTCTTTGTTTAAGAAAGAAAGTTGAAGAAGAAGCACACAGCTTCAAGTGGTCTATCTGTATTTTCTGTAGCCTGATGGAATAAGACAATATCTGACATCAACCTAAAGCAAATTAGGAAAGACAATTTCATAATTAATATACTAATATTTGAATTATTTTAGTATACTTGGATGTTACCTGTTCTCTTGGCACTTCTATTTGTGAAATATTTTCTAACTCACAAATGTCACAGCGTGAAATGAGCACATGAATCAGCCCTGAGACCTTTGGGCTTTAGGGTAGACCCAGGTCCTAACCCTGATCTTGGCAAGATGTGTGGTAGATTGTCTCATCTGTAAAATGGAGCCACTACTCTCCAGTTGTGGGGCATCTGTTCCCTTAAGGAGCTCCTGTGTGCTAAGGGCCTGTGCACAGCTTCACCCCTGTAGGCACTGTGGAAGCAGCCATGCTGCCTCTGCTCATAGCACATGGCCTGGTTAGACAAGGGGAAATGTGGAAGTTTACTTAGTTATGAAACTCCTGACCTTTTGCAGTTTCTAAATCCAGTGCTGAAAGACTAATGTCCCACATTGCCATTTATGACTAAAACGATTTGGGGTACAAAATTAGTAAAAGTCCATAACATCGTGCTAATAATTCCTGCAGGTGCTAATGTAGTACTTTCTGACCACAGGTCTGAGACTGAGAGTAGAATGTTCTTTGAACATTCTCTAATGGCATGTTTTCTTTGCTTCCAGAAGTATTTGGCATGTCAGAGCCGTGCTATCCTCCACAGGACTTCTTTTCTGAATAGCTTCCATTTAAATGACTTTTATGATACACTGCTTCAATCAAGTCCTCAAAGAACACATTTGTCTTCAGATCTGCTGGCAGTTTTGAGGTTGGTGGGGATTTTTGCTTCCATTTTTCTTACTGAAGATATTGTTAAATTTTAAAGGATTTTTAAAAATGCATAATAGTTTTGCTCCTTTCAATAAGACCCTGTAAGTAGATAATGCACAAATTTTAATCCTTTGACTTCATTGGGATCTAGATATAAATGAAAAGAGACATCCATAGTTCTCATATTCAGTATTATATATTCTGTGTGATGTTATAAAGAGATTAGAAATAAAATATCTGTCATACTGGCTGTAAGTAAATTTATTTCTAGGTTGACAAATTCAAACCCAGGACCTCACACATGCTAGGTAAGTATTTTGTTTTTGAGATTAAGTCTCACTAATTTTGCCCAGGCTGGCCTCCAGCTCACAATCCTCCTACCTTTGCCACCCAAGTAGCTGGGATTACAGGTGTGCACACCAAACCTGGCTTATGAAACATATTTTAAAACATCAAAAATCAAAACTGCATTGTTTAGTATCAACTTGTAATATCATGATACTTTCAGATTGCAAAATCTCAGTGGACAAAAGTGTTTTCAACCAGAAGGTACTCATCTTATGTTTCATAAATGGTAGAATAAGGCTGCTTTAGGGATGTGTGTGTGTGTGTGTGTGTGTGTATGTGTGTGTGTGTGTGCATATTTTAGCACTTTGAAAACTAACAATTGCCGGGCACAGTGGTTCGATGTCTGTCATACCAGGCACATGGAAGCACAAATAATAAAAGAATAGTACTTCAGGCCTGGCTGAAGCATAAATGTGAGGCCTATTATAAACCTAACTAAAAAGCAAAAAAGGGCTGGGCCTATGGCTCAAGTGCGGAGCTGCTGCCTAGTAAATGCAAGCTCTGAGTTCAACCTCCAGTACTGCCAAAAACAACAACAGAAACCTAACCATATGGTTACTTTCCTAGTAGAGAAAGCCTTTCATTTGGAAGTTTATTTGCCATTGAGATCATACCAAGTAAACACTTTTAGTTTGAGTTTCTTTCTGATAAAGACCCAACTACAGGCTAGATTCGGTTCATGCATTTTTCATAGCCTGCAAAAGGAGGGTGTAGAGTAGGGCCTGGTATACTGGGTGGACAGAAACTAAATGAAGGCAAGCAAGAAGGAACACAGTACTTTCTAGCATGACATGTCTTTTTCCCAAAGGCTTTTATTTCATTTGGTGGGACTTTTATTCTGTCTAAGGTGACAAATGTATTCTCCCTTAATGGACTTTTATTGCATTTTACTTTTTTATTTCTACTGAGAAATCAAAGTAGATTTTACTGCTGCACTGGGCTAAATTCCAGTTTTCCCACTGCACCCTTCATTGTTGTGCCTCATGATTAGTTCACATTGAAGAGTGAGACAATAGGATTAATTGAGGGGCTGGGTAGATGAGAAGTTTTTCCCCTGTCTTCTGTACCCTAGTCTGTCAATTTTGTAGTATGTACCATCTGTTGGACACTAATAACTGTATCCATGAAAACAAAAGCTTCTACAAAGAACTTAAGAAGTTACCTAAATACTTAATGGTCTGACACAATAAGAGTCTATTTGGGCTTTTTTTTGCGGCGGGGGGGGGGGCACAGGTTGAGATAGGGTTTTTCCATGTAACCCAAGCTGATCTCAAACTCAAGATCTGCCCGTCTCAGCATCCCGAGTGCTAGGATTACAGGTGTGTACCACCAAGCCTGGCCAAGTCTGTTTATTTTAAATCTTTTGCACCCAAGGATCCAGTTTCTTTTTTCTATAACATTGTGGTTTTACAAACCCACAAAGCATGAACTCTACCCCTTAACAAAATTTTAAGTGCATGGCTAGTAATATATACATTGTAAATGTGTTCTGTGAGGACTCGATTATAGTACTTTTTCATCTTGCTTGACTGGAACTCCTCCATACTTGCTCTATTTATCCCCTCTCTGCAGCCTGTGAAACTGCCATTCTACTTTATTCTTCTGTTAGTTTGACTACTCTACATACCCGCATGACTGGAATCAGGCAGCCTTTATCCTCCTGTGACTGGCTATTTATCAGTGCCTAGGGGAAATGTCTGTTCAGGGTTTTTCATTTTTTTTATTACCTTGTTTTTGCTATTGAGTGGCAGGAGTTTTTTATTTTTTTTAATTCATTTATTCAAATGTACATACATTGTTTGGGTCATTTCTCCCCCTGCCCCCTACCCTACCCTTCTCCCCAACACCCCTTGCTTTCAGGCAGAACCTGTTCTGCCCTTATCTCTCATTTTGCTGAAGAGAAAACATAAGCAATAATAAGAAAGACAAAACGTTTTTGCTATTTGAGATAAGGATAGCTATACAGTGAGATTCCTAGCATTGCTTCCATGTACAAATGTGTTACAACCCAAGTTGATTCATCTCTAACTGACCTTTTAACTATGTTGACCTCTGTCGATTTAAGGTTTCTGCATTAGTTCCTCTGCAGTGGGGACATCAAATGCTTTCGTGTTTTGGGTTTTCTACCTTTCCCCATACCTCCCGTATGTGTTCTCCCCTTAGCATGTGACTTAAATCCAACCACATTGCTGCATTTGCCCTAGATCTAAAGCCCGCATATGAGGGAGAACATACGATTTTTGGCCTTCTGAGCCTGGCTAACGTCGCTCAGAATGATGTTCTCCAGTTCCATCCATTTACTTGCAAATGAGAAGATTTCATTCTTCTTCATGGCTGAGTAAAATTCCTTTGTGTATAAATACCACATTTTCTTAATCCATTCGTCCGTAGTGGGGCATCTTTGTTGTTTCCATAACTTGGCTATTGTGAATAGCACTGCAATAAACATGGGTATGCAGGTGCCTCTGGAGTAACCTGTGTCACATTCCTCTTTTTTTTTTTTTAAATACCTGTTGAAATTATTCCAGTAATGGGGAGAGGGGGAATAAAGAAGGGGTGGATTCAACTATGACATATTGTAAGAACTTTTGTAAATGTCACAATGTACCCCCAGTACAATAACAATATGATGATAAAAATAAAAATAAAACATATTTTAGACATTAACCCCTGATCAGATACATGGTGAGCAGATATTTTCTCACCTTCTGTAAAGGTACCATTTTCACTCTGTTGATTGCTTCCTTTTTTTTCCACAGAAGCTTCTTAGTTTGATGTAATCCAGCGTCTCTGTTTTTGCTTCTGGTGTCATGTGGAACAAGGCTTAACCAAAAACAATATGGTGGAGCTTTTTGTGTATGTTTTCTATTATTAGTTTTGTTGTTTCAGGTCTTATATTTAAGTCTTCAATAATTTGGGGGTTAGTTTTGGTGTCTGATCTAAGATAAGAGTCCATTTCATTCTTTTGTGTGTGGATATTCAGTTTTCCTAACATCACAGGGTAAAAAGAGTAGAATTTTGGTACAGACTGTGTTGAATCTATAGATCACTTTGGTTAGCATGGACATTTGAGCAAGGCTAAGTCCTCCAGTCCATGAACATGAGCTGTCTTCCCATTTATTTGTGTCTTTTTAAGTTGTTTTTTTTTTTAAGGCAATATTTTGTAGTTTTTATCCTACTACTATTTGCCTTTTGGGTTAAGTTTATCCCTATTTTGTTTTTTCTGATGTGTTAAATGGTGCTATTTTCTTGATTTCTTTTTGGACTCTTTATTGTTAGTATACAGAAATACAGCTATTTTGGGTATCGATTTTCTATCCTGCAACTTTGCTGAATTTAGTCTACTGGTTATTGTTATAGGAAATCTTTAGGGTTCTCTACATATGAGTATATCATTAGCAAACAGTTGATTTTACTTCTTCCTTTCTAATTATAAATTTTTGTAGTGAAAGTGATAGTAAAGTTTATTAGGAAGGGAGTACACTTTTAATAGACTAAAAGCAGGTCATCTCTAGATAGAGAATGAAATGACAACTATTTTTACCCTGGCACCAGTTTTTATGAGGTGGAAGTGGCTTGGAATGTTAAGTAATCTATGGATTTACAACGTACCAACTATTAGTGGGTCCACTTGACCCCAAAGATATGACATACATACCTGGACCTTCATTTTGTTAAGTAAAAGATCTCTTATTTCAGGTACTGATGCTGCCCTACATGATGGCAGGTGACTCAAAAACATCTGTGACATCCCATGACCTTGGTGGGCTATTTGGATCCTAGCAGGGGCTTTTAAATGTTTTTCTCTCAGAGAAGAATTCTCTATTTTAGGCTTCATTTATGTATCCCATAGTTCATGGCTAACTGCTACCTAATGTTTCCCACTCAGACTAAAGACCCTGAAATCTTTTAGGGAATGGGAACACAAAATTATTCTGGCTACTTCCTGCTGGTATGGGACATAGGTAGAGGTCAGGAGTCTCTTGTCCTTGCTGTTTGTTGATGGGGATAGCTGGGATCCTTTGCAGAACATAACCACAGTAGTTATGTTCAAGGAGGAAGAGCCATGCTAAGTGTAAGAGTTTAGCACTTAGCCCTTGAGTTGCATCATTTGTAGTTTTACAGCCTGCAGGCTAGAGGAGACAAACCTGGTTAAGATATTAATATGAAGTTTAATAAGGAGCATCTGAATTTCTCTTGGAGCTATAGTATAACAGGTGATGGAAGACAAGGTCAAAGTTCCAGTCCAGTTAGAAGGTAGACAAGCATGGGCATTAGGTAATCATGCTTATGAACCTCGAAGTTACTTCTTTTGGATGGGCAGGGCATGAGTTTCTCCATTTGCAGTCTGACAATTTCCCCTCTTATTGGAACAGTTTTCTTTGAATTGTATCTGAATGGTCCCTTGTCACTGGAATAAAATTTGTCCCTGTCTTTCCTTGTTGCTGGGATTAGATGCCCTAGTTGTTCTGATTTGATCCCATGTTGGAGGGGAGTGACAAGCAAATCAGGTGGGAGTCAGTGCTAATTGGACCCTTTTTAGCCAAATTTAAGCAATAAAAAGATTTAGAAGGAGTGACTCCTAGGCTGGATTACCTGAAGTCCATTAAATTTCCCTTGTTGCAATTAGGAACACCTAGATATAAGCCT